ACAAAAGAAGAAAGACAGATATCAAGGTAAAGCTCCATCATCTGATCTTTCTCCAGAAAGGCATGTCAGAGCCTTGGAAGAAGAAGAAATGGAAGCATTTGATACTTGGCTGATGGAAAAGAAGAGAAAAGAATCAATGATCAAATTTCGCCATAGTGCTCTTGAGGAAGGAGAGCCATCCACTGCGAATGACATAGCTCTGACTATGGAAAGTCTGATCAAGGAGTGGAGAGAATCCGTATTCTCTGAGATTGTTCTTGAGGTAATTCCTACACCTCCTCCTTCCCCTCCCCAATCTCCTATTACTCTACCCTCTCCCTCCAAATCTCCATCTAAACCTTTATCCCCACCTCACTAGAAAACCCCCTCACCAGAACAGAAAACCCCCTCACCAGAACAGAAAACCACACCCTCCACCAGAACACCATCTCACCAGAAACCCAACTCCAGACCCTCTTCACCCTGCAAACAACCCTCATTTACCAGAAATCGATCACCTTCACCCCCTCCATCTCCCTCACACCAACCTACTTCTCAACCCATAATTCCTTTTCCCCAGAACTCACCCCCTCAGAACCCCTTACCATCATCCAAATCTGCCTCACATCAGAGATCCTCACATCACTCTGCAGCCTCTACACCAAAGAAGAAACCTATCTTCAGGGTTCCCTCCTCATCTAGTGACAATGATGGATTCCTCACCTCCTCCATTGCTGCTGATGAAACCTCCAAAAGGAGAAGGACACCCCCCAGAGTTCCCTCCCCTCCACCATCCAACAGAGCTCCTCCATTACCAAAAGGCAGAAGACTGGAAATGCCTGGATTTACACCTGAAGAACCCCAAATCCGCTTCAACCAGTTTGTGAAATCTGCTGAAGCTTTTGGTGGAATACTGGTTCAAGATCTGAGCAAGATTATTGAATTAAATGACAAACAACATGAAGAACTCACCCATACCAATCTGCAAATCACTATAGGATTTCAACATCTGTCAGATAAGGTTACTGCACTAACAGAGAATCTGCACAACTTCATGCATTCGTCTTCCTCAAGGATTGATTCTGTCTCCAGAGATGTTAGTGGACTCAACTCTGTTCTCCACTCTCACTCTCAAGCCCTGCTTGCCCAGAATCAGACAATCAACAAGATCTCAGAATCTGTTCACACTCTTCAGAAATCTGCTGATAGTTCCTCCCAGAAACTCAACATCTTACACTCCCTCTGCAAGGAACATCAAGAGCAAGGCCTAGCTCTTCTCAAATCTGACAGAGAAAGGTACCAGAAGATGGTGCTCCTAGAGGTCAGCACCAAAGATCTTCAATCTGCAGTAGACAAGCAACAAAGCCTGATTGAAGGACTTGCCTCTGTCACTCAAACTCTGCCAGAAACCCTGGATGAAATCAGAGATGCTCAAGCCTCTGAGTTCTCCAAGATTGAACTTCTCCTTGGTGATCTTTGTGATGCCAAAAAGGGGGAAGAGACCAGAGAAGAAGAAGGACCCAGCACCAGAGCTCTTTCTATCAGAGAACCCTCCTCTGTGGATCCTACTCCTTATTTTGATGCAACTAGGAAGAAAAAGCTAGCTGCTGCAGGCACCAGACCCCCACCTCCTCCTCCTAGAAGCTCTAAGAAAAAGCCTTCATCCTTTTCATTCACTGATTGGATGAAGAGTGGTCTGTCAAGGCCAGATAGAGTTCAATTTGAACAGATGAGGAAATTGATGACTCCTCTGCAAAGAGAGAATCTGTTCATGGACAGTGATGGACTTGTCCAGATCAACCATGGTGGTTCGATCCAAGAAGCTGAGATGTGGTACGGAATGAAGATTCTGAATGGCAAGAATTCTGCAGAAGCTGTCAGAAACTATTTGGATTGCAAACTTGCACCCCATTGGGCTGACTATCAGAATCCAAGGGATCTAGCCTCAATCAGAGCAAAGGTAAATGCTGAACTAGAGAGAATTGACAGAGCAGGACCACAGGTAGATGAAGAAGATCTCTAACTCTCTTTATCTGACTCTGTAATGCTTTACTTTCTCTAACAGTTTAATAAGATACCAACTCTGCCTCTCTTTTTGCGTGGCTTATTCAAATATCTGTTCTTATTTACTTTCTTGTGTATATTCTGTTATCGTACTTATTCTTTTGCCATCTGATTGTATCGCACTCTTACTATTCTCCTATGCTAAGTTGCCCACCAAGATTTTAATGAAAAGTTTTTAACTTTATTCTTTTATGGTGAAAGGCACTTCTCTGGAAATAGTTAAAGGGTTTTGGCATCATCAAAAAGGGGGAAATTGTAAGGAATAAATGTATTTAGATTTTGATGATGCTAGGTTAATTAGAATTTGAAAGTACCCCATTAGAAATTTTGTATTAGAATTTCTTTTGTAAGTTTTAGCTTAGTCTGCCTGCCAGAGTTCCATCTTGCCTCTACCAGAGTTGCTCCCAGAGTTGCTCACCAGAGAAGCCATCAGAAACTGGTTATCAGAAAGATACCAGAATTGGCAACAGAGACGGACTTCAGAGATTGGACCAGAGAACCTCTTCAGACTCTGCTAAATCCACCAGATTTCGGAAGCCCTTCCAACGGTCGTTAAACTAACGGGAAATCCCCTAACGGTTACAAACCTTTCAACGGAAGCATGGCACTGTACACGCATTAAATGCACATTTAATGTTGTACGTACGAAGAGATATTTAAAGCTGATGATTGACCATGCGAGTATCTTTACGCCCCCAAAATAGCAAGTCGGAGGACTAAACGGTCAAGTCAACAGTACATGCATTTAATGAAGCTGTCTTCTACACTCCAACGGGAAGACTGCTCCCAGTATATAAGATACACTCTGAAGAACTAAGAAGATAACTTTGCCATAACTATTGCCAAGATAAATTTGCGTAAACAACCTTCTTGAGATTAAAACTCCATTCCTAACAAGAAAAGGCCACAGTTGGAAGATAAACTTTCCTATCCTTCATCCAACCAGAAAAGGCAAAGTTACTTGGTTCTTCAACACTTCGAGAGCTTCATATACTCATCTTTTGTGAAGAAGCAACGTTGGAGAAAACTGATTCTATATCAAACACTTCTTGAGAAAGAAGGGACGTCTCAAATTAGCTGGAGTAAGTGAAGTGGAGATACTTCAAGAGACTCAGTGAAACGAGACCAGCCATCAGGAAGCAGGACTGCATCCCGGGTGGCAACTAGACTTGAAGAAGACGAGGAGTGCTTCTTAAGCTCTAGGGACTAAGGCGTTGTAAACTGTTGTTTTTGCAAGCTTAGTGGAACAGTGGACTAGAGGAACGAGTTGTTCCTTGAACCACTATAAAAACCCCGGTGTCATTTACTTTAAGTTTTTAATTACTGCACTTAAGATTCTACTGACTAACTCTTAAGGTTGGACTCTGTGTCCAGCAGATCTTCCTTCAGAGCTATCAGAAAGGCAGTTTGCCTTAGTTTTCTTCTAGAGGCTACCCGGACAGAAACTTATCCGCTGCCTGGTCTAGTTCTGCCATCAGAACTTGACCATCTCTGTCACCAGATTTCGACCATCTCTGATAAGTCAGACTTGACTTGGAGAAAAGTTTAAATTCCTGAACAGTCTATTCACCCCCCCTCTAGACTGTTCCCATTACAAACGGGACCAACATAAGCCCACCCCTGCCCGATACTGTTTAGGTCCAGTCTGATCTCAGGCCCAGTCCGATGGCTATAAAGGCGAGCATTGGGCTCAATTTTTTTTGCCCAGCACGGCCAGGTCCGACCCGACTGCACTATTTTTTTGATTGAATGCCCAGTCATGTCCCGAAGCCCAGCCCAGCCCAGTATTGTTTGGGTCTAGCACTCTAGCTTGATCCGATCCCGGTACCAGGCCTGAAATCCATAAGGCCGAAGCACGCCCAATCCCGGTTCGGTCCCGACCGAATCCATCCCTTGTCGTGGAACAAGAATTTAGTGAAGCCAGTAATGTGCTAACGGATTATAGATCGAGACTGAACGCATAATCTCTTGAGACGCTCATTTACTTCCGCAATTGGTTGAAGACGTGACATAAAACTCAAGAACTTTGCATCACCCTTGACAACTAGGGATGGACTCGATTCGAGCCGGGCCCGGTTCAGGCCTTGAACCGGCCGGGCCTCGATTCAAGGTATGGGAGGCCCGAAACCGGCCCGGGTAACCCCCGGGTACGGGCCGGGCCGGGCCTCGGGTATATATATATTTTTTTTGGGGGCTTTTCCTATTTAACCCACAACCCTCCACCTCACCCCCAAACCAACCCTAACCACCTCAAATGGCCCAAAATACCCAACCCAAAAACTTAAAAAAAATAAAAAAAAAACAAAATTGGCCCGGCCCGGGCCCGAACCGGCCGGGCCGGTTCACCTTTCGAAGGGCCCGAGCCCGAACCGAGAATCCACCGGGCCAGGTGGCCCGAACCAGCCAACCAACCGGTTCACCAGGCCAGTCCGGGCCCACACAATGGCGGGCCGGTCCGGTTCTGGGCCGGTCCGATTCTGAGCCGGTTGGCCCGGCCCAAGTCCACCCCTATTGACAACCACTTCATGGAGAAAACAACAACCGACGCTGGTGGAAATTCCGACGATTAACAAATGTATCAAATATTTTAAATTATTCCCAAACCTCAATTGTAATTCATATTTCAAATAAATCTACATTTCATTATTAATATCTATCACTTCTTGTATAATTAGGTAAAAAACTGACCCGACCCGAGACCGGCCCCTGAACCTCCCAGGTACCCGGGACCGGTGTCGTACTAAACCTGGTCGGTACTTGGCTCAAATTAATTGGAACCAGAACTGATGCCTTACTAAACCAGTTCAATACCTGGCTTAAATTAATTAGAACCGGGACCGGCTAGTCCTGAGCCCCGGACCGGACCGGATGCATGACTAGGAACTGGCCGGCCCGGATCCATGACTAGTTCAACATGAAGAATGACCAAAATGAAAGGAACAGTAACAAATGAAAGCAACAGTTAAGAAATGAAAAGGCTTTTGACCAATGAAGGAGCAAATGAAATCAGGTCCATAAATTAATAGAATAATTTTAAAAAATTGATGTCTGAATGAAAATGATCATTATACAGAAATTACATCAGAACCCCCCAAAAAATCACAAATTACATGTTTCCCATGCTTCAATCCCATGAGTGGCTCCAGTAGCCATGTAGGTTAATCGTGTAATACGCCTGAAATTGCAATCCTAAGCCAGTAAACTGTGTTGTCATTGATGCATATAATTCCCACACCTTGCTTGATATATATCAATGAAGTCTGGTTTGTTTATTGTCTCTTTTAAGCTGAACCTTCAATTTTTTCCCATTTAATTGGTAGCCGTTCATACTGTTAATAGCAGCTTGTGCAGCTTCTGGAGAGTCATAACTGACGAATCCTGCAGGAAGAAGAGGATACGATTAAAGCAGAAAGAAGAGACTCTTACCGTACATATCAAATCAGGGGAGTCTGTACCGAAACATTTGCTAATGCCGGTTGCCTTGTCTATGAAAACCTTTGCACTCAAGACCCTACCAAATGGTTCAAATGCATTTGCTAGTTCTTGATCACCGTATTCTTGTGGAATATGATAAATAAATAAATTGGCACCAGGAGGACCTGCAAAGCGCATATTTCACTTTTTTACATTTTTAATATTATTAACCCTTCGTCATGGGAAGTTTCAAGCAGAAGGAATGTGAAAGTAAATCAACACTTGAGACCTATACACTACTCTCCCGAGTCCCGTCCCAAACAAAGGTTCATGTTTCCCATTTAGTCGGTCGCAAAATAAAGTTCATGTTTCCTCACACGAAATAATTGTGTGGTTCCTATAATTTCTCTCAACTCAAAATAAATCCCAATCACAATATGTTAGTGTTCTTAAAAGACAGGTCAAATCAAACTACATGTACCACATTTTAGAACAAATGGAGTACCTTATCCTGCAGAGTATTCAAATTAATCTAAAATAGATGTTACCAAACGCTTTTCTTTTTAGAAAATTTTAACAAGTTCGACCATTTCAGCTGAATAAACCTAACCAAATAGGATCTAAATCTTCTACGTGATACAGAGTATTTGACAGTTTCTACTTTCCTCCTAAACTTATGTGGTCAGTGACTCAGTGTGTTAAGCTCAGTTAAGTTAAGAAATTACGTGTAGATTTTATAAGCTGTAGCTGGAAAGATGCTTCAAGTATAATAATAAGAAGAAAATGATATGAAAGAAATACCTTATTTTATGATATTCAATTAACACCCCATATCAGAATTATTAATAGTGCTAATTCACTAGGGCCTACCCTTTTTTGTCTCATGTTCTAGTCCGTTGTTCTACACTATACTCTTATTGGTCCTTACTAATTTACTGTTCATGGCTTCACATACAGTCATACTATGTGCCCTCCTTGATAAAAAGCATTGTGAATAATAAACTTCTTTATCATGAGGAAGCGCATACAAAAGGTGTATGAGCCTAAGCAAACGACTGTAGGCCAATCTTAACATAAAAGAAATGAGGAAAATTCTGACAACCTTCAATCTGACCCCCAGATACTGAGTTGATGCTTGAAGATGCTGCAGATGAGCTGTTAGCACCCAGAGAATTACTAAAAGGTCTATTATTATTCAAAATTCCTCCTCCAGGATATGGCATCGGATACTGAACCCCAGGAACAGAGTAAGGAGATCTTAAGTAACTTGCTGGAGACATGGCATAGCTTCTTGGGGTCAATCTGGATGAAGGATCAGAAGTGGTGCCAGGTACTGTGCTTGCTTGATTTGCGGGCGGTGGAACAATATTCTGAAAACCATGTTGGTTCTGCACTGGTGGGAAGCGGTATGGCATGATTCCATATGTTCCATGACTCTGCAAAGCAGATTGAATCGAATGATGAGTATTAAAAGACAAAGGATGATTATTTTTATCAATCTAACTTTACATCAAACCTTCGTTTGTTTAGATGACTATCAAAGGAAAGTACGGAGAGAAAGGAGTAAAAGATTTTTTTATAAGAAAATTTCATGCAGATCCATTCAAAAAATTCACTCCAAAATTGGAGAGATAAGTTGGACAGCAATGATATTTCAGGGAACCATTTAACCTTACTATATCTTTTCTACATTTCAATCTCTACAATAATAGGGATATATATGTCTAAAATTCTAAAAGAATAAACAACTTTTCTTTCTCTCCATGCAAACAATTTAAATGTCTACCTATCCCCACTTATTTTGTCATCTCCCTATTCCCCACTTATTTTCTCATCTCCCCTGCTTTTTTTGCTATTTCCCTCCTTATCCAGACAAACCATAACACATATGAACTGAAACAGAGGAAAAGAGAAGAAAATTGCAACAAGCTGCATGTGGCCGAAAGATTTCACCAATAGGGGAGGACAATATTAACTATCTGAACTGATATGCAAATAGCCAGAGATATGAAAAGTAATTAACCTGATAAGCATATCCATTGTACGGAGGCATATAACCAATAGGTAAAGCTTCATATGGAGATGGATGATGTCCGGAGTCAGGCGAAGATGCTTGAAATAGAGCTTTTTGAGCCCTCCGAGCTTGCCTTTCCTTTTCTGTATCTGCCCATTTGACTACTAAGGGGACTGTGGAACCCTGGTTACAAGGATGTGAATAGAATTACTACCAGCAAATACAAGCCCCTCAAAATGACAAAAATAACAACTTGAGATCTTGGTAGTCAATCTTGAGATCCTATGAAGGATCAGAAGGGGACCTAAATATCTTAAATTGTAGGATCGTAACTCGGATAGTAAGTTCCTATGATATATATATATATATATATATATATATATATATATATATATATATATATATATATATATATAATTAAGTTCAAGTGAGAAAATGATCTTAGGAGAGAAATGAGAATGAATCTGGACCGTTAGATTGTATTCTGTGAAATTGAATGCGCATTAAGTGAAGCTGAAATGTGCATTACGTGAAATCGAAATGTGCAGCACAAAAGTAAGGCACATTGGTATTATGTGAAGCTGAATTGTGCACATTTTTATGGAGATGGATGATGTCTTTTATTCTGCACATTTCAATTTCACGTAATGCACATTTGAGTTTTACTTTTCATTCTGCACATTCCAATTTCATTTAATGCACATTTTAGTTTTAACAAATGCACAATTCAATTTCACATAATACAATCCAACGGTCCATATTCATTCTCATTTCTCTCCTATGAGCCCTTTCTCACCGGAATCACTCCCTATATAAGGAGTGAAATTGAAATGTGCAGAATAAAAGACATCATCCATCTCCATAAAAATGTGCACAATTCAACTTCACATAAATATATATATATATATATATATATATATATATATATATATTTATAGAATATCGACAGGAAAAAAAGTGATACACTAAAATAATAATCACAAGCGGCACTGGGGTAAATGAAAATGACTAAAATAATAATCACAACAGAAGTTACCGTAATAACTAACAACTAACGGTAAAATAAAGTAGTATATTAATAAAATAAAAGTAATATAGAAAAGTACCTAGAGGCGTAATAATATCGTAAATAGTACTCCCTCCGTCCCTTAAAACTTTGCCACTTTCCCTTTTAATCAATTATTTTGTGGTTTCTATTATTTCTCTCTCTTCTGCACAAACCTCAACCACACAGTTTTTACTTTATTATTCTCCGTGCCGGTCAACTTTGGCAAAGTTTTAAGGGACGGAGGTAGTAATAAGTAAGTGCAACTATACCTACTACCTAGTGGCTGAAGGTGGTTTCAAGATAATGACAAAGACTGAAGGATAAGGCCGGCACAGAAGATAACAATGAAGATTGAGGTTGAAGCAAAAGTTCAAGGTAGACGCACAAGAATTGCAGGGAAGAAAGAAGCTAGATAGCAGGGATCCACAAGTGGTGAAGCAACACACCTGTTCACTACAAGTTCTAAATTTTCACTTTTTCAGTCTTTTATTGCCGACAATTTCCAAAGTCAGAACTCAGAATTTATAAATTTACCGACAACTGTCACAACTCAGTGGTAATTGCACGAGTTAGAGATTCCGCGTAACGATCCCGCTGATCCAGGTCATTTTATGATCTTCAGCAAAAATGGGATCGCGTGAAGCATCAGAGATTGTATAATCGTATGATCCTGTGCGCAGGATCACGATTTTGACTACCATGCTTGGGATGATAATGGTCAGATTTTATAATGGAACAAGGGGAATTCATGACAACTAATGACGAGAATTATAACATGCAAACTTCACTCCTCACATTTGGGAAGAATGTTCACTAAATGATCAAAGTTGGGCCCTTGAGAACCCAAAATCATGTGCATTTGCATAAGCACTAATATTTTTATTAGGAATGCTTAATATAGAGATCAGTGCAGACTCACAAATGAGATGATGCCTAATTTGCCATCATCAAACTTTATGTTAAACATATTCATTTCTAATCCACACATAGTAATATGGAATCATAAGCTCCACAAGATCAGATTAGATGCAATTTCCCAAAACCTTATACATTTAACATGCAACCGGTACATTTTTTCAGACTTTGCCTCTCCAAATATTCACTTTTGAAAGGATAGATTAAACCGTAAATTTATTTCCTAAATTAAAATCTATGAAAGCAGGCATATTAAAATGTATTCATGAAGCATGGACATATGTGGACCCACCATAAGATGTCTATATCAAACAAATACAGTTCAATAAAGCACGCTATGTGTAATTAAGGGAGGCCATATTCCAAAAGTTATGGATAAAATGGAGTGAGAAGTCACATTATCATCAAATGTAAGCAGAAAATATTTCCCAGTACCATCTCAAATGTCTGCAATTTCTGAATAATGAGCCAGATAGAAATGGCTTATAATCCTTGACAGACCCCAATTTTACGATACATTGGCCACATGGAAATGGCCTAGTAAAGAATCCCTAGATTTTTGGACTCCTCCAGACATCAAGTGTCAGCATTTGGGCCATTCTGTTGGCCCTACAACAAAGGGGCAGACAATATAGAATAATTCTTCTTAAGATCTCCTTGCAATAACACTGTTCCCAAATTCACAATACGTGCGGTGTTTATGTATGTAAAATTGTAAATACACCCAGATCAAATATGAATGCTTCTTTAGGTAAACATTAAAATTAACATGTCAAGATGAAGTATATACAGTTCAAGTTTACAAAGTGAGATTTTTGTCATTTTTGCAACAAAAGTACATTTTGTAAATAAAAGTGCGCACTTTACCAAATAAAAGTGTGGTATTCATGAAGTAATTCATTGTTTCAATATGCAAATGTGCAAGTGCATTAAAAGGAAACTGTTCCACAAAAAGTCATGTCCCGTCCTATCTGGACAAGATAGGGAGTTTATATTCCACTAATATTAAATTATTAATAAGGAGAAATTCATAAGACTAATCTCTACTTTATAAGATTCCACAAAAATAATCCCTACTGAGTGTGTTCATAAATATAATCCGAACTAGCAATGGTGTCCACGAGAATAAATTGGGGTAAGTTGAAACTAATACATGTTTCATACTACAAAACCCTACACTCACTTTCTTTTTCACCACTCTCGCGTAACACTTCTATCTTCCAATTTAGATAGAACCACATATGATGGAAATGACATCGAGATCAAACGGGCATTAGTTTGAATTCACCCCGAGAAGAAGAGCAGGAAGGGGAAGTGGGAGTTGGGAGTATTAAACGGGCATTGGTTTCAATTTACCCCAATTTATTCTGGTGAACACCATTGCTAATTTGGATTATTTTCATGAAAACTTTAAGTTAAGGATTATTATTGTAGAATCCCTGAAGTAGGGACTATTCTTATGAATTTCACCTATTAATAAATAGCCAGCTAAAAATACATCTCAAATCAATATTATACAAAAGTGCCACTAAGGAAGCAGGATAGCACCAGACAACATATTTTCCATTCTGCATAAGAGAAATCAATGTTGTAAGAGACTAACTAATAAACAAAAGTCCTACCTCCATTCTATGCTTTCCATTGAGGGCATTTATGGCGGCAACAGCTTGTTCTTTCTGCTCATATTTCATAAAAGCACATCCTGCAGTAATGAAGACATTAAAATCAAATTGGAAAGTAAGACATTTAGTATTGCACAGCATATGATTGAGTATTGAAAAAATGAACAGTGGGCAACATGGAGTACCAAGTACCTTTACTAGTTTGCTGAGACCCTCTAATAATTTGCAATTCCTTGATGGTTCCAAATTGTGAAAATAAGGTCAAGAGTTCAGCATCAGAAACATTCTTTGGTAGCATACCAACGAAAAGCTTGTGTTCTGTTGTTTGAAAAAATAATAATGTAAACGAGAAGAGAGAATAAGATAAACTAAGTTTCTATTTTCATTGCACAAGATGACCACTATTAAACTTTTATTTTAAAACGGAATTACAAAAATATTCAAGAGTTCAAATCGGGAATCTATGTTAACTTTGTGAATAATGAAGTATATCAACACATCACAATATGTAGGAACAAAAGGTACTTATCACTACAAACTTTAAATTATACTACACCTAGTCTTTCCAATTCGCCATCAGCATACTTTACTTGCAATGGACTGGAAGCCTGAATTGACAGAAAGAAATAATGCATCAAGTTTGGAAAAGGTGAAGCACAGAGTCGGGCTACGGAAAATAAAGTTAATTCCAATAATGAAGATGGTAGAAATGAAAGCCCACAGTCATGGTATGAATTCAGTTAACCATGCGCATTTAAAAAGATTATGCGCCATAATAGGTGATGAATGATGACATACAGCCAAGTGAACCAACAACACTACACTTCTTGGATCTTATTCCGTCACATCTACTTAACTACAAATCCCTGACAGTAATGGACAGTTAGTATTTCCACAACTTGTCAAATAATCCTTTGCAGTTAAGAAATCTCTCTACAAGTTTTAACGTCCCAACAAAAAGAGCAGTAACTCAAAGCCTCAGCGGTTACAAAGTTGTATTGCAAAGGGAAGTTAAAAAAGCAATTAATTCAACCCATGAACATTCAATAAAGCTAGCATATCGGCCTTCTCTACCCATACTACTAGATATGCACAATGCACATCAAGAGAAACGAATCACTCATTAAAACATACCCCAGGAAGTGTCTTCTTGTTGTGGCACGCATTAACAGCCTTGTCTGCTTCTTCTCTGGACGGGCATATCACGAAACAACACCCTGAAAACACCGGTTCCAGAACCAACAAGACGCATTCAGAGGCTACAAATCTCAACAAAAAGGTCAAGGGGGGGCTCAAATCTCACACTGAGATCGAGAGCGTGGAAATTAGAAGGGAGGGAGAGAGAGTGCGGGAGGGGGTTCGACCTCGAGAAGCTCGCGTAGTCTTGTCCTTAATGATATTGACTTCATCAACGATGGAGAACTCTTTGAACATTGCGAGAAGCTGCGCTTCAGTCATGTGCCTTGGCACTTGACCGACGAAGAGCTTGACGCTCTCTTCGCCGTGATTCCGCCGCGGATGCTGCGTTTGCTCCTCCGCCATTAATGCCGGTTCACTCGCACTCTATTTCGGTCCTCTCTCTCTCTCTCTAACTTGCTTACTCTCTTCGTCTGCTGTCGTTGACGGCTGCTTCGTGCCGATCTCGCGCCGTGCCTGTCGTTTCTCTCACTACTCTCTGCGTTGAATCTTCGCTCCGGTCGGGGCCTATTTCGGGCAAGTGGGTAAATTTGGATCTTCCTAACTTTATCATCATTGTTGACTTTAAAAATGCCCTCCTTCTCAATATTATTTACAACTTTAGAACTTCTACTCCCCTCCCGGCTGGCGGCTCCCACCCGTTTGTCCTTTAAAACGGAAAATTCTCAAAAAATATACGGTAAATAAAAACATTTTTAAATTTCGAAGTAGAATCATCCTATTTTTATTACTTAAATAAGAGTAAGTATTATCAAATTTAGAAAATATTGATAATTGAAGTTAAACAATGTTAAAATATGACAATAATTACTCCTACTTGAGTAATAAAATATGATGATCCTATTTTTGAATTCGTAAATGTTTTTACTCCTAGCCTTTTTTTTTTAGAAAAAATGAAAGAATAAGTCTATTTATTTTCCAAATAGGATTTATGTTGTTCTATTAAAAGAATAAATTAGATTAAAACATCTCAAAATAGATGTGAATGGAACTTATTTTGAAATAAAGATAGTCTTATTTAGAACTTGTGTGGTAGTTTACACAATAAATCTTTACACGCGAAATGAATGCTTGCAAGTTTAGAAAAACAATCACTTTACATGTAAAATTAGATTACATTGTTTGGATGGATATGTAGTGTATTTTTAAGTTGCATGTAAAGGACCTTGCAATGCTTTACATAAAGCATGTAAATTATTTTACTATCATTCCTCAATGTAAAAATACTTTACAGGTTCAATGCGAAATATTGTTAAAAAACGTCTACGGTTTACATTAAATAATGAAATCAAACGGTGTGAATCTTTTATATTTTTACATTTTGTATGTAAAGTAATTATTTTACATCTTACGAAATGGACCTCGTATTTAGTCAATTTTCACTTTTCCCTTTTTAACAATGGCCTTATTAGACAAGGCTAAAACCTCATTTGGTACACCTATAGGCAACTATTTTATCATATAAAAAAATTGAGTTCACATGTTTAAGAGTATAATAATTGAAATGAGTAAATTTGAATTTATTTTTCTGACTGAAATGATTGAAATTATTGAAGTAGTTTATCAATTTTTATATAATTATTTCTTTATTTTACTAAAATAATATATTTTGTCCACTATTCAGCAGATTAAGTCATTCTTGTTGCTTTCGTTAGTATTTCATCATTTTCAACAGATCAGGCCATGTTAGTGAATCTAAAGAGGTTATAAGATGTAAATTAGAGCGTTCGTTAGATTTTAGCTCATTTTTTCAATTAGAAAATTTATGATCTCCTTCTCTATGTATTGACTTGCGTTATATTTTCTAAGTTTACATCAGATTCCTTTTGCCCCATTAGTCCTCTTTCTACTAAATCAAATGCAAATTTTTATCTTTTGAGTTCTTTAGTTAATTAATAATATATTGAGTATGATGTTTTTACTTGAACTAGCTTCTCTTTCAAAGTAGATCAAGTTTAAATAGATCAAACAAGATTAGACTAGATTTTGTCAGTTAAAAAATACAATAGACTAGACATCTACCATATCAGGCCTGAAAATTTAAGTTCAATTAAAAACATCCTAACTTAATTTTTAGAGAAATTGTCCTAAATAGGACTAAAAAAATCGTATATTCCGAAATAGAACTGTCATTTCGAAAATGAGAATAATTATTGTCATTCTTTGGAGGTATCAGACTTTAAACATGAGTATATTCCACGCTTGTCGCTAATTACTTCAATTTAGGGAATAAAAACACGACAGGCCCGTTTTAAAATTTCCAAACGTTTTAACTCCTATTTTGAAAATTTTCTCAATTTTTTATGGACTTTAGATATGCATTGTTTTAATGCATGCTTAATGTTGAAATGCTCATAGTTTTAATTAAGAAGATTAACTTTTAGTTGGAATAAATTAGTTTGGAATGTGTGAGACTGGTCAAAATTATGTCACAATTTAAAGTGGGACAAAAATTGACAAAAGGCTTGTTCTGAATCAACATTTTTCAAGTTTAATGTCTCAGGCTTGTTGATATCTACTTATATATAAAGCCTCTAGGTAGTTTTTTTTTTTGAAATGAAACTGACTGATTATATTAGAAACCAAGAACCAGCGATATTACAAACTTTTTAATACTGAACAACCTCATGCTACCAAATTTACCATAACCCGAAGGTCCCTTCACCCTCTGATTAGACATAGAAACGACTACCCTAGCTAGAGCGGATCGAGTCGCTAACCATCTGAGAGATTTGAAGATTATCTCGGCTCTTGAAGTCATCTTTCTTCTTAGCATAAAATACTTACCCACCTCATAAGCATAGCACTCCCACACAACTAAGAGTTCTAAATAAAAAACAAATTGGAAAATAACAATATTAAAATGCAAATTAAACGAGTCTGTCACTGCTGGCAAAATTCCATTATTTTTTTGGAAAAATTGAAAATAATAATCCCAACTATTGCCAGTCCGCTAACAATAATCCTAAATATTTATTATTTTTGTATAATCCCAACTATATGGACCGTCCACCAATAATGATCCATGACCGCATATTACGTGCTCTAACAAGTGAATTTTTAATAGAAATTAAGCGTAAAATTTAAAATTTGGGATTATTTATAGGGATTACATGCTATATCTCTTTAGAAAATATAGGAATTTATTTATAGTCGGTCACGTTGGACCATTATTGGCGGAAGGTCCCTAATGTTGGAATTATTCTGAAATAATCGATAGTTGGGATTATTATGAGTGGATCACCAATAGTTGGGATTATTACAATCAATTTTTCCTATTTTTTATCCCTTCTAACCGAGGCCTTCAACAAACAGCCAAAGTTCCAACTCGTGCATTTCATGGCGGTGGTTCAGGAGGAGGTCGAATCATCAGGGCCGCTATGAAACCTTCATCTTTCAAAGCTAACCAATAGCACTTCACCAATTGCACTTCATTCTCTTCCATCTTCATTGTGATCTCATAAGCTTGATCCAACAAAACTAAATCCTTTTGCCCTTGGAATGAATTCCAACCCACCATGGATGCCATCCTGCGAAAATGATCATGGCTAGCCTTTGAGATGATCATGAGCCGCAGCCAAGCCCTGCTAGATTCCAAATGAGCGAAGAAATTAAAGCTACGAACAAAAACATGCGCAACCCTTAAAACTTTGGAACCTTCAAATAAAGCTCTCCTCTAATCCGTATAACTGTTGTGATGTCCTTTGCTGCTAGCGTGCTCAAGGGAAGAGCGTTGATTTTGTACTCCGTTGAGATCCAAACTGTCGGACAAAGCGGCAATAGCCACCGCCGGAAAAAACGGCCAAAACCCTAGAGAAAACCTCTAAGGTAGTTAAGTTGGGCATTTTTACGTGTGTACAGTGCAGACTTTTAGCCTCCGTCTGTTGCCTTTGTTGAATAATCGAGGACTGCTTCCCTCCGCTCAATCTTTCTCCCAAGTATACATCTAAATGACTCCTCTCCCGATTAATAAGCTAGGGTTCGTAGGAAGCGTCATAGCCCATCGTCCACCGAAGGAACCGCCCTCGATGTCAATCTGCAGGTGTCTTCCGCCTCTTTCAATTATTTGTTAACTATCTCCATCCTCTTATCGATCTTCTTCTCCATCTCCATTTGTTAGCGATCTCCATCTTCTGCAAGAAATGTTTAGAGCGAGAAGCTCCCGTCACTCTCTAGGACTGCGACTGTAGTCTTTCGTCTTCCTGATGCATGTGCGGCAGCCAGTGCCACCGGCGGATGGGATCGGGTCAATGGAGACCCATAAGAAGTCTTCCTTTGCAGTGGTGGTAAGTCCTTCAGTCCCAGGCTATCGACTGCACCAACAAATCTGCTCTCTCGCAGATGCGGCCTTTCTGGGATCCTCCGGAACCTTCAAGGGCTATCGAGCGGTCTCCTTCTCTGTGGACAATTTACAGGTTCTCTGTTGTCCCTTCCATTCGCAATGCCTTCATCGCATTAGGGTTCATCGAACCTTACTCGGTATGTCTGTTAAAAGCCAATATTGTCTCGATAAATTTCAAATCGAACATCGATTTTCATCATTTTTGGGGAAAAACACTAGGAATTTTTTCGTATCCAAGACGGTTGTGACTAGATGGTCAACATCCTTCTCTGTCGACCGGGATTCCTTAATTGCTCCGGTTTGGGTGGCTCTTGAAGGGCTTCCCTTCCATTAACATGATTTTCGTGCCCTGAACTACAGACCCTCTATTGCGAGAATATGTATTGAAATCGATATCTCTCAGGAGCTCCCTAACAACAGTTGGATAGGAAATGGTACAAATAGATTTCTTCAGGCCATTGTGTAAGAAAAATTACCTGTATTCTGCCACAGGTGTTCGAGGTTTGGGCACAAATTGACAGGTTGTCCTCGGGCAACCTCAGTTTTGGGGCTTAACCCTCTGAATTTGACTACTGATAGTGCCACTATTGTTGGGGCTCTAAATTTGGATGATGCACCTAATTTTGATGTGTCTGGTAATAAGACTGCTAATGGTAAACCCGATGGTGTCCCTATTGCGCATGATGTTTTGACTATTGAACATCTAGGCACCTATGATATTGTTGTCTTGGAAACTGGTTTTCCAGTTTCTAACCCAACTGAATTCATCCCTCTCCAACACCGTAGTGATTACACAATTGAGGGCCCCAGCTTTACTTGTACCCTTGTTACTGCCAGTCCTGTAAGGGCCCAGG